TCCTTTCGTCTTCCCTGGCACAGCTGTGCTGATTATTTCAGAGGCTGAATGAATCTCTGTGCTCTTTGTCCCAAAGTTCCTGCCTTGACCTCCAAGCCCCTGAATGCTTCCTGCTCCTCACCCAGGACCTGCCAAGTGCCCTCCATGCTGAAGGAGCATGGCTGTCTTTACACTAGGGATGTAGCCCCAAAGCATAGCACCCAGTGATGCCTGCAGTTAAATATTTTGACCTTCGCCTTTATACCCAGGCCAGCCATGGTTGGGCTTGCCAAAGTCTCTAAGGTTTTGGCTCCTTAATCTGACCGGTTTCTGGTTCCTGTCAGCATATGAACTCAGGCACTGTACTGAATTCTATTGCATCTTTAAAAAAAAAAAAGTTGTTTTTATTTTATCTGTAGGGCTGCTTTGCCTACATGTATGTCTGTGTACCACATGCATGCAGTGCTCTAGAAGGCCATAAAAGGATATCGGATCCCTTGGCGCTAGAGCTGCAGACAGCTGTGAGCTGCCATGCAGGTTCTGGGATCAACCTTGGGTCCTCTGAAGGACAGCCAGTGCTCTTAACCACTGAATCTCCTCTCCAGTCCCTCTGTTGTGTCTTTTTATTGTAGATCGGCTTCCTCTGGGGCTGTGAATGTTTTAGGAGGAGCAAAAAAATTGTACTTCTTTACCAAACAAAGGGGGGTGTGGGTGGATGTGCGTGCGTGTGTGTGTGTGTGTATTGCCCACCACTGGGGCGACTTCCAGCTCTGCGAACACACCTAGGCCCAGACCTGAGTCTGGTAGACCCCCTTCCTTCCTCCAGTGTTCCATTTCTGTGCTGCTGAGATGTAAGAGCTCCCTTTGGGGAACTTTGGAGATGGGCCTCTTCTAAAATTCTTTGAGCCAAAAGGAATTTCTAGGTGAAATCTGATTCAAGGTAGACCTCAAGAGGCCCTCGTTGTCTGTCCATAAATAAGATCTTCAAGGACCTGATAGTTGTGATGTGTTCTGGGGGCTCACAAGGAGAGTGATCACGGGGCTTGTCTATAGAAACACAGCCAATAAGGACACAGCCAGTAGAAGGACTGCCCAGGTTGGGGGTTAGCTGAGAGCTCCGTGAGAATTCAAGGTGGAAAACAGGAATCGGCCAGGAAAATTAGTCTTGAGGGAAGATCAGGACAATGGAGTTGAGAGCAAGAACCACCTCTTCATTTTTGGTGAGGGACATTCTCAAGTGAGAGTTGACAGTGGACGTGAACCTGGGTCTGAGAATTAGAGATGAGTTCAACTCTGACCCAAGCTAGGAGCTGTAGGTCAGGGGACTTAGTCCCAGGTCCCCGTCTGTGACAAAGTGAGTACTAACTGCCTCGTCCGTTGGCTAGCTGCGGTACAGGACACTGTGGGGTGCCACTGCTGTAGACTGAAGGGTGCCACTGTTAGCGACCCCCATTGTGGTGTAGCCAGCTTCGTAAGCCAGGGAAGCACTTCAGGACACATCGGCACGAAGCTGAGCTGGATCAGATGAGAGATGGAGAGAGAGAAAGAAGGAGAGAGAGAGAGAAACTTGAGATGCTTTAAGTGTAAGAATTGAAAGAAAAACGTGCCTTAATGGTTGGGTGACGCATGGCTATAATCACTTAGTAGGTGGAGGGAGCAGGAATCCCAGTTCAAAGCTAGCCTGAGCTGCGTAGGAAGTTCAAGGCCAACCTGGGTTACATGTGATCATGTCTCAAAACACCAGCTAATAGTCTCTAGTGATTATGTACACACATAATGTAGAAACGACTTGTGGCTTTTAAATTGATAGGGCTTAAAGGATGCACTTTACAATCAGGTTCAAATTTGTAAAAACTTTAGGTAAAAGAAAAATAATGGGCTGGTTTGCTTTTTTTCTTTGTTTTAAACAACGTCCTGTTATCAATGAAATTGTGAGACTTTTGAGGTTCGGTGTTAAGGGCAAGAGGAGTTATAAGTGATGTTTAATAACTGATGTCACTGAATCCAAAAAAATGTTTGTATCCATTTCAGTTTTAAGCACGCCTGGTCCATGGTAGATTTTTTTTTTTTTGGCTTGATTGTTTTGGGATTTTTGTTGTTGTTTTTCACACTCTCGTTTGAGATGTCTCTGGGGGAAACTAACTCCATGTAGGCAAATCTCTGCTGATTTTGTCAGTTGTAGTTAAACATAAATCCGGAGATTCCAGAGCAAGGGGCCTCTTTTCTTTACCCGTGCCCCTTGAATTTTCCTTATCTCTCTATACTGCACAAGGTTATAGTAAAAATTAGGCAAATAAATCCATAAAGAGCTGGACATGGAGGTACATATCTGTAATCCCAGCATTAGGAAGGTAGAGGACTCCAGGGCGGTGGTAGCGCATGCCTTTAATCGCAGCACTCGGGAAGCAAAGGCAGGTGGATCTCTGTGAGTCTGAGGCCAACCTGGTCTACTGAGCAAGTTTCAGGACAGCCTCCAAAGCTACAGAGAAACCCTGTCTTGAAAAAAAAAATGAAGAAGAAGACGGTGGAGGCAAGAATTCAAGGTCAGCCTGGACTATCTTGCCTCAAAGAAGCTGTCATCATCATCATCATCATCATCATCATTACCGTCCACCACCTCACACAGTGGCAGCCCCATGGTTACTGATGTTGCTAGTATTGTACGAGTGACAGAGGAGGAAGTAACAACCACCCTCACTGACAGACACTGGGGGTAGAAGACAGAAGAGAACAGCTCCCGCCTGGACTCTGGGTGCCCTCTCAGGAAATAAAGAGTAGGGTAAAGCGTACCAGGACCATATACTCCTTCCGAAAAGTGATGCTTGCCTCCTTGCTTAGTCAATCCATAACCTACTCTGCCCAGCATAGGATGAGAAGTGAAGAGCTTGCTGCCTAGAAAAGTCCCGCCATAGACCACAGGCCACAGGCCACAGGCCACAGGCCATGTGCCATAGACCACAGACCACAAACAGTTAGTATGGTTTTAGTCTTTGGCTCAGCTACAGGACTCACAACAGAATGCTGTTTGAGCAAGTTATTGGCCCCAAAGACTTCCGAGTTATACTCACAGAAGGGATCCTTGAACCCACAAGCACCTGTGAGCTTGACTCTTGTTCTGTTAGAGAGAGGGAAGAGATCTTGGAATTACATGGCCTTATCAGGTAATGAGGAACTCAGATTTCTCAGAATTGTTGTTCTCTTATTAGTTAGATGGAAGTCCCAGAGGAGTCTGGGAGGAAGAGGAAAAGTGATAACACAAATTTCCCTAAGTGATGTCAGTATGAGGACTTCCACCCCAAATCCCGTTCTTGTCTAACTTGGCTTTTCCACAAACCATAATATTCTTTAAAGAGAGAAGAGTAGGCCTATCTGAAAAAGTCATAGAGTGTTCTAGCAGCATTGGGAGATGTGCTCAGTGAGGGGGACAGACTTCCATACCCGAACAAGACGAGCTGGGGGTCTGTAGGACAAATCCAAAGCCTGGAGTGGACACTCGCAAAGACTGGACTACACTTGGGTGACATTCTCAGTAAAGAGTTTCAAGTCTGAGGTTTAAGCAGAAAGGGCATAGATCCAAAAAAAAATCCAAGATACATGAAGAGAACAGGCTCACACTGTGTTGGCTCAGTGGAGTCTGGAGGAGCATAGTTCCTTACCTCAACAGACTAGGATCCTGGAGGTCCAGAAGAGTCTTCCGGAGTCTGAAAATGCAGTGATCTGTGTGGGGATTTCTGCGGTCAAGAACATTCCCATTGTGGGCAGCAAGAGTCCATGGCCAGTTCACCCTACTGTCCTCACCATTAACCCTGCCCATTCTCTACCTTGGATCCTCTCCCAGTGGCTCACAATGGCTATTCCAAAACCCTGAGTAAAAGTCCTAGACAGAGAGAAGGTTGTGTGTCTGGGCAGAGAGGCAACTGGAAGGCATTCTATAAATGGCATGGTGGCAGGGGACTTGTGTTGGTGAGTACATACATATGTCCTTGAAGATCAGTCATACACAGGCATGATCTGAAAACCTGGGGCAGGGAAGCTTGAATAGAAAGAGGAAGAGAGCAGTGGTCCTTTCCTGAGCAAGTACATGTGATGCAGGGGCACTGGAGAGTGGGGAAAGAAACATGGTTTGGGGATGTCTGGGAGGCAGAAAGGATGGAAAGAGGACAAAAGCGGACCCGGAACTAATAAGAAACTCCCAGAGGACAAAGACAGCTGCTGAGGGAAGCCGGATGCTGACTTCAGATGGGTGGGATCTGAGACGAAGGCAGGGCTCTCAGCAAGTAACCGGAACAAGAACGAGACAGCTTTAGATGAGCATCGGATGAGCAGCTCAGGGCGGGCCCCCGGTTCCAGCTCCTAGGCTAATGCACCGAGGGAGAGGCAGAAATCTGAGGGCTCCAGTCCCTGGGGTTAGCAATACCGACAGAGGCATCTAACAGCCATCAGTCATCGCGGTGAAGATTATTCACGCTTTTGTCGTTGTGAAAGACAAGCACCGCACATGGGCCAAAACCTCACAGTCATCTCTAGCAAGGCACGGTGAGATGAAGGGCAGATGCCTTACTGGGGGAGAAGGTACAGTGGCCAGGAATACAAGGAAGGGTTACTCTGAGGAAGGGGCCTGCCGGGCAAGCAACGAAGACCTGTGGTGGTAAGCTCCTGGCATGAGATGCCCAGGTTTCATAGATGTCTACGATCCCAGTCATAAAGGGCCTGTCGTCTTCTGAGCAAGCCGCCATGTTGGGTGGGCAAGGGGAAATTTTGTGTCTGTGTGGCTGGAATAAGAAATTATTCATTGGGCTATATAGACATATATCAGCAGAGAGGTAAAAAGATGAAAAAGCAGTATGTCGCCTCTCTAGAGACTTCCATGTAGGACAGGAACAAGCCAAAATAAACCATGACGGAACAGCATGGAGGTTGCTGCGAGGTGGGCAGGGAGACAAGTGTGGAGAGGCCTCCCTGGCAGCACCGGTTTCAAGGTGGTCCTTGAGGGGTGACTTCACTTTCCTTTTAACCAACAGGAGGGACCATCTCCATGCCATCTGCTGACGGTGAGGGTCATCGGCATGAAAAACGTCCGGCAGGCTGATATACGTAAGTGTCCTCCCCGCTCCTCCCTCCTGTTTGCGGGGTCGGGATAGAGAAAGGACCTGACAGCCGCCAGTCAGGCATGTCTCTGTGTATAGACTTCCTGAGCCATGGCTGTGTATCACCAGTGAGTTAGAAGCTGCCGTGGAAGAGCAGTGGAGGCCCTTTAGCACCATGGAGCTGCCCACCAGCTCCTCTCAGAAATGCTTCTCGGGATACAGATCCCAAACCAGGCTCTTGAGCCACCGTGGAGTCTGTAGCACCCAGAACTGCAGCCCAGCCTCCTCTGTGTGGTTGGATATTCGAGCCACTAGGCAGGAACTCCTTGTAGGCTAGCTTCCCCTTCATCCAACTCCTGCTGCATTCCCAGGGCACAGAACTCAGGGGGCCTCTGCTTTGGGATTGGGCCAGAAATGCCCTACATGTGTGCTATAGTGCGTTATCTAAGGGATCAGTTCTCTCCTCGTGTGGACCTCTGCCTGTTTAAAGTAGGAAGGAAGCTTTGCCTCTCTAGGAAGGGAAGGCTTTATGTCCAGGGTGCACAGCTGTGGGGAGGGGGAAAGCCAAAAGGGACACACTGAGGTCCTAGGATCCAAGCGCCCAGGTTATAAACATCGGAGGGGAGGGGACTGGAAGCCTGGTCTGAGGAGGAGCAACCTGAGAGATGGGGCTCTATCTTTGGAGCACCTGTTGTGGTCACAGGAGGCCCACTTTGTAGGTGGGAAGTTCGTGATTGCCTGAGGTAGAATGAGTGTTTGATTCTAGGCCTGGAGGTCTGGTGAGGAGAGGGGACCCTCTGGGGCAGTGGATCTCAACTTTCCCAATGCTTTGACCCTTTAATCCAGTTGCTCAGGTGATGGTGACTCCCAACCATAAAATTATTTCCTTACTGTTTCATAACTGTAATTTTGCTACTGTTATGACTCACAATACAAATATCTAATATGCAGGATATATGATATGGTATGACATATGATATGATATATGATAGGACCCACAGATTGAGAACCGCTGCTCTCTAGGGGAAAGAAGCTGTGGTCAGATTACAGACAGTCAGAAGCTAGATAGACAAGGAATCTGTTGCATGACTTCCTGATGCTCGCATGCCAATCATGGAGGGACAGCAGGTGTGGAGAGCAGAGGAGGGACAGCCCTGTCGTCCCAGAGACTGCAAAGGGACAGACATGATTCAGACTGAGCCTACAGAGGGCGAGGCCTTCAGGGCCCGTGCCAGTAGGAACGGTTCCAGCAAACATTAAGTTGGACTTGTGTCAGCCAAGAGACCCACTACAGAGCAAGGGATCCCCTGGACTCTTTGGGGCTTTCTCAGTACACTGGGGTGTGACCTGAAGAGCCAGGAAATGTCCCTAGGCCCAGACTATGCCACCTTTCCTGCCCATCCCAGAATGGGTCTCTCGCTCTCTTCCTTCTTGGCAGAGGTCACCCCTCCCCTCAGCCCTAGCTCCCACACACACACCCTCCTCCAGCTTCTCCAGAGGTGTGTCTGTTTCAGCCCCGTCACCAGTCACCCAGGACGTTCATCTTCAGTCTTCGTGCCTGCGCCTGTATGCAAGGCCTTCCATTGTCCGGGGCCCTTTCTTTTGTCGTGTCCCCACCACGCCTATCCCCAGGAGGCTGGCAAGTGGTGTGGCAGGCTATGATCTGGCTTTACCAGTCTCCTTTCCCCCTTCACCGCATGCCCCTTGGCACACAAGCAGACTTTAGGGTTCTCTTCAGGAACCCCTTGTTTATGTTTTTCTTGCTTCCCCTAAGGGACAAAGGGCAGCTATGGTGTCTGATGGTGCTGGCAAAGTCACGTTGGGTCTGGACTCTACAGTTGTCACCGGCTAGACTATGTTGCTACTGTCTATGGATCTGGTGGGGAATTATCCTGATCACTCTTGCTCAAAATTGCCCCTTCTAGCTTAAATCCAATATTAATGGTTCTTTGGTTTAGGCATCTAACCCATGTCTGATTTCTGGAGACGTCAAAAGCCTAATAGAAGGAAGTACTCAGAGGTTCAGGGGTGACAACCCACTTGCCAAGAGCTAAAGAGTACCTGTCCCAGGCCAGAAGGCAGGCACCCCCAGAAGCCCTCAGCCACCAGGAGTCTCCTTCTGTGATGGAACCCCAACCAGTACTCCTAGGGGCATCAGGCAGGTACCTCAAGAAATATTGGGGTATCCACTGGTAACCACACAGGAATGTTCTGCACATCTGTGAAGACAATTAAGTCATCTCTGCCACCTACAATTCAAGGAAGGGAACATGTCATTCACATGAGCACATCCTCTGTCACTTCCTGGGGAGCAGGGGCTAGAACCTGCTTTTGTCTAGGAAATCCCAGGTCTTGAAATTCCCAGGTTAGTCACTACTTCCTTGTGGCTGACATGACAGTATTCTTACAGTTGGCTAATGTGGTTGCCTCAGACCGTCACCTGGGCCCGCAGGGCCTCCACGGTCATTCCTTGGCCTCCTCCCTTTGAGCTACGCTCTCTGCATTCTCAGCCCTTCAAGTATGGGGTAGAGGAATCTTTCAGCAAAAAGAATCGGGAAACTGATGAATGCTTGAGGATGGGCGCCTGATCGCCTGATGGGCCTTGTCACTTCCAGGAATGTTTTGTTGTTGCTGCTACTGTTTGCTTGTTTATTCGTTAGACAAGTCTCACTACGGAACTGAGACGGGACTTGAACCCTTGTTCCTCCTGCATCTGCCCTCCCAGTGCTGGGATTCCAGGCATGCAGCTTGTCCTTATTTTGGTTTTTGCTGCTGTGACAAAATCTTGGCCAAAAGCAACTTGGGTGGGGGGGGAAAGGGCTTATGTCATCTTACAGATTTTAGGACTTCATTAGAGAAGCCAGGACAGGAACTCGAGGCAGGAGCCTGGCAGCAGGAACCGAAGCAGAGACACAGAGGGACACTGCTCACTGCATTGCTCACCGTGGCTTGTTCAGCCTGCTTTCTTGGAAAACCCAGGACCACCTGTCCAGGGGTGGCACCACTCACAGTGGACTGGGCCCTCCCATGCCAGTCTTTAATCAAGAAAACACCCCCACAGACTTGCCTACAGTCTGATGAAGGCAACTCCTCAATTGAGATTCCCTCTTCCCAGATATATCTCGGTTTGTGTCAAATTAGCTAAAACTAAACAACATTCACTACCATTCCTGGAAAGAATATTTTTTTTTAATCTTAACTTGAGGTGTAAGACAAAACACTGAGATGTTATTTAATGGATTCAGTGGGAGATTTCTAGGTATGGATTGATACAAGTGGAGCAGTTTTAGAGAGACAGAGGCCTTTAAGAATCCTTTAAGTCAGGCATGCTGAGCGACCTGGCAGAGCCAACAGGCTTGGCAGAATCCCTCTGCACAGAAAGCAGACTTGAGTAGAACGTTCCAGGCCCAGAGGGAAGTGCTTGGGACCAGGAAAAGCAAAGGGAGGAGTTCCAGAGGGCTGGGCAGGTCTCTGGGGAGCCGCCCCCCGTAAGCAGAGCAATCACACACACTGACTTGCCCACCTGCATCTGCTCAGGATTTCTTGCTGCGGATGCAGCCCTCCAACAGGAAGTTGTTATTCATTCATTTAAAAGTTGCCTAGTGAGCGCCTACTCTGCCCAAAGGTTGCAGGCCCTGGCCTTCTCAATGATCACAGTGGTGAAGACAATGACTGGACCTGCTCTGCCAGTACAGCATAGCAACAGCCCTCTCAGGAGTGGCACATTGGACCAGAACTGGACGCTCAGGGGAGGGGTACAAAGAAGATTCTAAAACCTAAAGAGCTAGTGAAGAGAAGGGTGGGTTAAAGTAGAAAAGAAGTAGCTGGGTGGCGGCAGCATAGGCCTTTAATCCCAGCACTCTAGAGGCAGAGGCAGAGGCAGAATCAGACAGCCTCTGTGAGTTCGAGGCCAGCCTGGTCTACAGAGCAAGTTCTAGGATAGCCAGGGCTACACAGGGAAACCCTGTCTCAAAAAACCAAAACCAAAAAAAGGGGGGAAAAAAAGGAAAGGAAAAGAAAAGGAAAAAGTAGAAAAGAAGGATGTTGAAGCTAAAGAGATGCCTCAACTGTCAAGAATATTCCATATGTTTATTCCATACGTTTATGGTGGACCCACATTCCCTTCCCAGCTTGTACATGGATGTTCACAACCTCCTGTAACTCCATATTCCATGCCTTCTTTTGGTTTCTACAGGTTACTGTATGTACATTGTGCATGTCTCATGCAGACAAGCACACCTACACATGAATAAAAGGAAGGAAGGAGGGAGGGAAAGAAGGAGGAAAGAAAAAGAAAGAGAGGGAGAGAGAAGAGAGAAGGAAGGAAAGAAAAAAGAAGGAAAGAAGGAAGGAAGGGAGGAAAAGAGGAAGGGAGGGGAGGAGGGAGGGAGGGAAGGAGGAAGGGAGGAAAGGAAGAAGGGAGGAAGATGAAAAGGAGGAAGGGAAGGAGGGAGGGAAAGAGGAAGGGAGAAAGGAAGGGAGGAAGGAAGGGAGGAAGGAAGAAGTTCCTGGCAAGAGGAGCGACAGGTGCAAGGCCTGAAGCGAGACAGCACGGCCCTTTTGGAGAGCTAAGATGACTAAGCTTGTCCTGCAGTCAGAGTGCGTGTGGCTGGTTGTCTGCACACATGTGTAGGTGTGTGTGTGTAGGCATAAACACATGCAGGGCAGGGGTGAGGAGTCAGGAAGGGTGGAGAGATGAGGCTGAAGCTGAGAAAATAGGAAGGAGAGCCATAATGGGTAAGGATGGACTCCTTCCTGAAGCCAGATGGGAGCCATTATGCACAGTGACAAAACCGTGTCTCCAGAGCCCCTCCCTTAGGAGAGAAGGCTGACAACATAAGAGACAGGGAGCCCAGTGGGAAAGCTCCAGAGATGAGAGTGACCTGCACAGGTAGTGTCAGTACAGACGAGCACTCAGGGTTAGAACCAGGGAGGATGCCCAGTTGCTGGCCTAGGTACCTGAGTCAGTGGCAGAGAACAGGGTGGGCCTGGAGGAGATGGGCCCCGATGGTGAGGTCATCATTTTCTTCTCATTCTGTCAAAGTTTCGCCTTTCTGTGTGGATTAAGCCACGGTTGGGACAGGGGAGGATGGCGTCCTCTCACCTTTACTCAGCGGGAGGAGGGCTGGGAGTGTCTGCTCACCAAATGGTGAGCCATCAAAGACTAACTGCCATCAGAAGCCAGAATGCATGATGCAGAATGGGGCTACAGACACGGCAGAACTTATGGTGCAACATGAGCTTGGGTCCCTGGGGGGCAGCTCTGCTTCAGCTCACACAGCAATTCCTAGTAAAAGTTATGAACTAGTTGGAGTTCCATCCTCCCAGCCTCAGTACCTACAGGATTTCTGACAGTGGGAACTATCAACTTTCATTAAACTCTACAGAGGTGCACCCTAGGACTTAACCAAGCAGGTCACCAAGGTGGTGACAAAGACAGCCCTGGTACATCCTTCTCCTCTCTCCTCCCAAGCATAATGGCATGAGGAATCACTTAGGCTATTCTTAGCCCTATCTGTTCCGCTACTCCCACCAGAAAGGTTAGACCAGCTTCCATTTTAGAAAGTCTTACTGAAGTCAAAGCAGTTCCCCTTCTCCAGGGCACATGGAGCAATGTACTAGGTTTGTTCATTTAAAGTGGAAGAAGGCACTTGGCCACAAACATGAGGGTGTCCTGGATTGTACACCCCAGGCTAGGAGACCAGTACCCTATGGAGAACCCACTAAGGGCAGCTGCATTAAATCGTACGGAGACACAGCCCCTGCACATTGTTTCATCTGAACCCGTTCCCACGGCCCTTCTCGGCTGTCCAGAGGAAAACTATACTTCTCCCTGCTGCTTCTCAGCTCAACCCTACTTTGGTTCCCTTGGTGCTAAGACCACGGGTAAAGCGGATCTTTGGAGCAGGGCTTTTTGGTATTTTCATGATATCTGGAGCACTATGTAGCTTATCTTGTTCCAATCAATAGGCGTATACTAGTCAGGGTTCTCTAGAGGGCTAGAACAGACATAATGAATATGTATTAAAGGGGGATTTACGAGAGAGGCTTACAGAATGTGATCTGGATAGTCCCACAATGGCTTTCTTGTGATGGGAAAGGCTGAGAATCCAATAGTTGTTCAGTCCATGAGGTTAGCTGTCTCAAAGTCCCAATCTAAAGCTGTAGGCCTGGAGAGTATTCCTGAGAGATGCTGGTCCTCAGTACATATTGGAATCCCAAAGAAGTTGGTTCCAGTATTGGTTAAGTAATGTTGTAGCAACAGGAGGGGTGGTCTTGCCAGTGAGAATGAGGGCAAACAGGAAAAAGGCAAGTTTCGTTTTTCTATATCATTTTATATGGACTGCCACCACAAGGAGTGGCTCCAAATTAAGGTGGGACTTCCTGCTTCAAATAATCTGTTTTAGAAACCTTCACAGGAATGACCCAAAGCTTGGGTTCTAGTTGATCCTAAATTAGTCAAATTGACAACCAAGATTAACCATCAAAGATGTTTGCTCTAGCACCTGGAGTATTTCTGCTTTAGGTTACCCTGGTCCATGATGAAGGTCAGCAAGACCTGTCCCATCCTTTGTGACCTATAGCCCTTGGTCGGTGTGGCTTCTCAGGGTTCTAGGACCAAGCCAGAGAGGCAGATTCCTGCATCAGGAGAAGATGAGCAACCGAGAGGAGGCCTTGCTCTAGAAGAGATTCGCCTGAGGTTCTCTCTTGACTTCACCATCTCCTCTCTTCTTTCTTTTCTACTGTTGTCTTCCTGGGACAGTGAGTCAGACGGACTGCTTTGTCACCCTCTGGCTGCCTACTGCCTCTCGGGAGAAGGTGAGGACCAGAACCATCTCCAACTGCCCACACCCAGAGTGGGATGAGAGCTTCACTTTCCAGATCCAGACTCAAGTAAAGGTGAGCGGCAGAGGACCACACCTGTGTGCCCTACCCACGTGTCTGCTCCCCTCTCCACCACCTGTCCCTCCCATGTCCTTCTTGAGGCTGTTTGTGTATCGTCTTACATGTCCTATTAACCTGTCTTCCCACTCACCCACTGCTTCCTTCCTCCTATGCGTGTTCCTCTCTGAGTCTGCTAATCCTTCTACCTTCTCACTTCCCCGTCCTCCTAGTTCTTGTTGATCCTGGCAATCTCTTGCCGAAGCACAAATTGTGTTTCCAGGACCTTCCAGAGCATCCTCCCTGCAGGAGACTACGCAGTAGGGAAAGTCATTCTATTGACCAGGTCTAACCTGATCTGACTTCAGCCAGAGGCTCTCCTCTTAAATCTGCTCTTAGTTGCTGCAGTCCTTCACTTACTCGGTTTCCTTGGGTGTGCGCTCTGTCACTTGTTGAGCCATTATTGCGCAGCGTTGCTTTTCTTCAGACACACAGTGCGTCTAAGTCACAGTCACATTCCTTGTGGAATTCTCCTTGAGCAGCTTGAGCTGTGGCAGCCTTGAGGCAAATTTGGCCTGGTGATGAAGGCATCAATCCTGAGATAGTCACGGCTTGACCCCCCAAGTCCTGGTCTAGCCCAGGAAGGGCAGACCCTCTTGACCTTCCAGAACTAAAACTATAGTTCTAGTTCGTGAAGAGTCCTTATAGTTTTCAAGAGGGTTGTGCTCACCATGGTTTCTTAAAAAAAATAATAAAATAAAAAAATAAAAATAATAAAAAAATAAAAAAAATAAAAATTACCTCTTCACCTGCTGTGGTGGTTCACACCTGCCATCTCAACACTCAGGAGGTTGAGACAGGAGGATTGCAAGTGTGAAGTCAGCTTGAGCTGCACAGTGAGACCCTATCTCAATAACATAAAGTAAGATGCTTTTTCTATTGTGTGTATGAATTTGGTGAGGAAGGAAGATTTCCATGTAGATGTAGTGTACCATCTTGCTTTCTGCTTTGCAGTTACTGGGTTGCTCTGGTACATATATAAGCTTCTAAAAATTACAAGACCAACAGATCCTATATAATTAGAGATACCCAGAACTGCATTTATGTCCACTAGATAGAAATCCAGGACATAAACCTTGCCTTTAGTCATAGCTCCCAGGATCAGAGGTTAAGAGTCGTAGAAACTAGTCCATGCCACCTGAGGCCACTGAGTGCAGGCTACTTGCTACTTGGGACGACTCATAAGACCTTCTTAGGGACCACTGTGCCAAAGCATAGAGTTCACACAATTCATCCCAATTCCCCCAATCACTGGAGCCACAAGAGCCTTTGCTGTGCCCTTCCCTTGGAGTAGCAGATGTTAATTTCCCTGGCCTGCCTTTTCTAGCTACCTTCAGATCCCAGGTGCCTCGTGTCTGCAGGACCTTGTTTTGTTCTCCATTCCACCCCAGGTGAAATGAAAGCCCTCTATAATCTCCCCAGGCTGCTCAAGCTTTTAAAGGGACCAAATTATCCTGAAATCAGAGTTGGGGGGCAGTCTCTAGGGAGCTGGAAAGCAGGGGAAGACACTTCCTCCCTGCAAATGTCTCTGGCATCCAAGCAGAAGTATCTGTGTCCCCCTTCGTCAGTCCTCACTCTCTGCTAGGACTGAGGTCCTGTCCCCTGTCCTGGGAGTGGGTCACTGCAACCATGGTAACCAGGCATCCACTCTCCTCTTTCCTCTAGAACGTACTAGAGCTGAGTGTCTGTGATGAAGACACGCTGACAGCAAATGACCATCTCTTGACCGTACTCTATGACCTCTCCAAGCTTTGCCTTCGGAACAAAACCCATGTGAAGTTTCCGCTCAACCCAGAGGTGGGTGCAGATCACAGACCCTAAGCCTCTAACCTCTTGGGGAATACCCACGTACTGCCATGAAACCCTTCTGTGAGCATCTCTAGCACATATACAAGCTGGGGAAAGGATATACTTCTGGTTCAAATCCTAGCACTGTCATTTGCATGGAAATTACTTTCCTCATTTCCTACTTCTTCTATGCAATAGTGACACTAGTCCTCCAAGTAGGGTTGCTATGAGACTTAAATGAAAAAAAGTAATGATGGCACCTAGCAGTTGGAGTTTGCTATGCTAACTAGAAATGTGGGTGCCCACTTCCTTTTCCTCACCTCCAAGTCCTGTTTCTGGAATGCCCTTGAGGTAGAGAGGGCTAAAGGGAAGTTCAGAACTAGAAAGAGGCAGGGTATTCTAGATTCATCCATTGAACAAATAGCTGGGTGTTTCTGTGTGAGGTGAAGTTCTGGGTGTACACCAGAGGGCAAGCATCTCTACCTTTACTCTGTATATTCCTATGGGGAAACTGAAGCCCAGTGAAGCCATGGTTCACCCTCAGGTACACACGAGGCATGGAAGCAGAGGGAAGGGAAGGGGCTTGTGTTGTCGGGATTGGGCTCTTTAAAGACACCAGCTAAGAGCTCCCTTGCTCAAGCTCTGAGTCCCATGAGAAGTCAGGCAAACAGTGGAGAACCAGGAGTCGAAATAGAAAATGAACGCTCAAGGACAGAAGAATGCATATTCAGGGCCAGGTGTCACATACACACCTGAATCCCCTGCTGAGGGGTCTAGCCTTGAACGGACAGTTTGTACATTCCAGGGTAGGGGTATGTGGGTTAGCAATGTTAGGCAGAAAAAAAAATAGAGGCACAAAGAAGTAGACAGGATAGAGTCAGGAGGGCAACTCAGTGAATACTTAGTCCCCCCACGTTTATTTTTCATAGGCTTTATATACCCCAATCCAAAGGGGAGGGGGAAGACCTAAGACCTTTCTTTTTTTTTTTTAAACCAAAAACGCAAGGAGCAAAATGATTAGCTTCTCAAATACCCAAAGCATCAAGTAACTACAGCCTAGGTCAAAGCATCCTGTTTGGAATCACACCCTCGGTCACACCTCCTGTCAATAACCTTGAAGGAGCAAGAATAGGCCTGAACTCTCTGACCTTTAGTCAAGGTGACTGAGTCCACCTCTGTGGGCTCTGACACCCTGCATTGTCACGCTGTGCCTGCTGTCAGAGACGAAGAGAGGTGGGAAGGGCAAGAAGAGCCAGCAGCAGCCATTCCTTCTCCGTGGCCCCGTGGGCAGGGCATGCAGGTCTGCAGGGGTGGAAGTGAATCCTTGCAGGTAGGTTTGTAGATGCGGCCAATAGCCTCCTTCCTTTTCTGTCTCTTCAGGGCATGGAAGAGCTGGAGGTGGAGTTCCTGCTCGCAGAGAAGTAAGTAGGCATCAGTCCTGCGCGTCAGCTAAGGTCCTCGACTTTAGAGCTGTGTCTGCCTTCGCGCTGCGTTACCTTGTTCGGGCCTCAACGCTGGCCTGGGTGCTGGCTTCCTCCGTGTGTGCAGGTTCTCTAGGGAGCTTGTAAAGGGTGGAGGTGCCCAGGCCCCAACACTATTCTGATTCCATTGATACCAGTATCCGTTTAAAGATTTATGAGGTTGGGCATATAGATCAGTTGGTAGAATGCTTGCCTAACACAAAGCCCTGGGTTCAGTCCCTAGTACTGTATAAATAAAGTATGGTATCACACACTTGAGATCTCCCCCCCCCCCCACACACACACACACATTTCAGTGCTTGCCTCAAGTCCCCAGCATTTCCAACAGGAACTTCCTGGAGAATTCCTGCCACCATGGTATGGGATGAGGAACTGTCGGAACAAACATCCTAACCCCTGGCTGAAATCGGAGGGGGTAGGCAACAAAAAACAAATCTGGAAGCTGGAGAAGTGGCTCAGTGGTTAGAACACTTGCTGCTCTTCCAGAGAACTTGGGTTCAATTCTTAGCATCCACATGGTGACTCACAACCCCCTGTGACTCCACTTCCAGAGGATCTGATGCCCCCTGCTGACCTCTGCTGGCACTGCATGCATGTGATATACATACTTGGATATACCCTGCATGCATGGAAAAAAAAACCAGATATAAAGTAACAAAGTAATTTAAATGTAAAAACTAACCCTACTTGCAAAATGTATACATTAATTGAAACACAGAAGCTTTGTTGGTATGAAGAGTACTTGCTTCTGTTCTAGATGAGGGGCTGCAGTCTTACTGACCTCTGACCTGTGCATTGTTCCCCCTGGACATTCTGTTTTAAATATACACTCTCTTACAGAGTCATAGAGGCTGGCTTAATGTTCCAGTCCTCCTGCCTTTGCCTCTTAGGTGCTGAGTTTACAGATGGATGCCCCCGATCCTGGTTCAAACCTAGGTTTTTTGTTTTGTTTTGTTTTTGAGACAGGGTTTCTCTGTAGCTTTGGAGCCTGTCCTGGAACTAGCTCTTGTAGCCCAGGCTGGCCTCGAACTCACAGAGATTCGCCTGCCTCTGCCTCCCGAGTGCTGGGATTAAAAGCGTGCGCCACCACCGCCCCGCTCAAACCTAGTTTTTCAAGCAGATATTTCTCATTTAACTGAGAAGGATCTGCTATTCTATGACTGATATGATTTATAGCTTTTGCTGCCTTCTTAAGAAACCAGCCAAGAATATTGTTACTGACCTGGAGTTCTCTTGTCTTTCAGTCTCTCTTCACCGGAGATGCTCATCACCAATGGCGTGATTGTGGTAATTGTCCGCATGTGGCTACTGCTCTCAGGGGAGAGGAGGTTGAGCCTACCTTGGAACCTTGTCCCTATGCTGAGCCCAGGGAGAAATAGACTAAATGGTTAAACTAAATGAGGTGCACCCAGGGGTGGGGCTGCACCCTGGGCTCCTGGATCAAGGCAGGAAGTATGAGGGAACACCCTTGCCCAGCACCCTGCATTCCCAAAAGATCAGCCCTTTCCCAGCATTAGTCACTTCCAACTCCAATACAACTCCAATGCCTCTGCAAACCTGATTTCAGCACTAAAATTATTTTTTAGGCCAGCTCTCAGGAGGCAGAGACAAGCAGACCTCTATGAGTTTGAGACCAGCCTGGTCTACATAGTGAGACCCTGCTTCAAAAAACAAAACAAACAAGCAAAACACCAGTCATAACTCTTTTAACTGAATGTACCCAGCGTCCCAGGAAACTTCTCCCTTTAAAAGCAGAGTGCTTGGGATGTGTGGCAAAGGCCTTTGCCCAGTCTCTGCTTCTCGGATGTTATTTTATTCCAACTTCTTACTTGCACAGCTGTACAACGCCTCAGGTCAGCCCCTGATGCTCCTGTGAGCATGACTCCCAGTAAACCATGATGTGCACCTAGCTTTGTCTTCCCCCCTCTTGGGGCACTCAGTACCCAGCATGCTCAGTACCCAGCATGCTCAGCAGAAGCCCAAAGCTGATCAACACTCATCATCTTTGCCTTTGCCTCTTCCCTGCTAACGGGAAGAGGGGGCGTGGCTTTGCTTGTTGGGGCGTGGCTTTGCTTAGCGTCCCATCAACCCTTTTTGCATTGTTACAGTCTCGGCAAGTCTCTTGCCTGGAGGTCCACGCCGAATCCAGGAGGCCAAGGAAGAGGAAGAAAAGTGAGAGTTCCCCTACTCTGTCTAATGGTGGGCTTGGGCATGGGGGTGGGAGCAAGACGTCTTCCAAGCCCTGAGGAGGTCATTTTGGAGCTCAGGGAACCAGGACAACTCAACCTGGTATGGGCTATCCTGGGTCGGGGGAAGTAACGTCAAAACTCCTCAGAATTGTGTCCTCAGACACCTGTCCTCTTCAGCTGTCTCTACGAAGACTGTGTTCTTCCAGGGACCCAGATGAAAGTCCTCAGGTCCCCCTAGTGTCCTGGGGCTCAGTGTTGCCGAGTCTGCTATGCTCGGACGGTGGCAGCGCCTGGGGCAGGTGGGCTCTGCAGCTGCAGGGGTCCTCAGGCCTCGTCTTCCTAGCAGCTCTCAGTTCAGAGCATTTTCCTAGTGAGACACATATGCCACTGTCTGCCCCTCTGCGCCTCTCCTGGCTGGACTTCCAGCTCTTCTCATGGAAGCAGTGTGGCCCCACAGACACCGGCTAGAAAGGAGGGCTTGGGGGGGCTTCTGCTCCCAAACTGACAGCCTTCTGGGGGATCTGTTTTCTCTACAATGGGTGGTAACTTTGATGGGGGGAGGAGGCTGTTCTAGTAAAGCAAAACCAAGAGGTCTTATCTTGACTCAACATCTTAGAGGGCTTTCTGGAGAACTTATCTGTTGGCACACCCCACAGACCTTGTTAAAATGCAGATTTCAGGGCGCTCTCCGAGGCATTTGAATGAGTGCCTGGTGATTGTGAACCCCAACTGGCACTTCAAGATGGGATTTTTTTAAATTTTTAAATTAATTTATCTTATGCATATGAGCGTTTTCGCCTGTATGTTTGTATGTACTCCAAGTGCGTTGGAGTCCCTGGAACTGGACTTTAAATAGCTGTGAGGCACCCTGTGGGTTCTGGAAACGTACCAGGGTCTTTGAAAGAGCAACAAGTGACCAAGATAGAAATTTTGTTGTGCTAAATGGGAGGCCGAGATGAGAATCTTCTCACTGCATCTTCTTTCTCAGATAAAGACCTCCTAGTGATGGTAACAGACTCCTTCGAGAATACTCAGTGCATCCCACCCTTCCAGGAGTCTTGCTGCAGCAACCCAGCCTGCTTCCACTACCCTAAGTACTTCCAACCCCAGCTGCGTGCCGAGGCGCCAGAGAACCGCTGGAACTGTGGGGTACAAGGCAACCGCAGTTGGAAGGGAGGAGGGGGAGGACTAGGCTGGAAGGGCTAACAGAGGAGTCCCTCAGCCCCTCACAGAGCTCACCTATCCTTCCAGCTTTGCTGCTGTGGAACACGCAGGAATGGCTCCGTCTGCCAGCCCCTCGATTGCCTTTCTGATGGCCAGCCGGTGACCCTGCCCGTGGTGAGCATCTGGGTCTGAGAAGGGGTCCCAGAGCCGCTTAGCTCCAGTAGCAGGGAGAGCTAAGAGCGCAAAGACACGGGGAAGGTAGCACCTGGGGTCTCTCAGGCAAAATGGAATGGCCTGGTAGGCTTCCGTGGGAACCAGGAAACGTGGAGTCTGAGTGAAGATGATGGAATTGTTGAATCTAGAAGTAGGCTGTGGGAAGGGAGCATGCACGTATGTGTGTGAGCATGTGTGTGTAGATTATTGTGAACATGCCTGCATGCTGAGTTCTGTCCGTGACTGAGTCATGCAGTGAGTCTCCCCCTCTTTGGCCGGGCTCCTTTGCTCTCAGGGGTCATCTCTAACAGGTATTTCACCCTTTTCTCCTCAGGGAGAGAACTATGAACTACACATGAAGTCCGTGTCCTGGTAAAGTACCCTTTCCTGTCCTTTCCCCAACTCAGGGGAGTAGGTGTGAAGTCCTATCTCACTGTGGCTTGACTTGTGTGCTCTTCCATGGCTAATGAGGCTGAACATCTGTTCCGGAATGACTTGGCCTTTAGTAAATCTTTTCTGAGACATGTTTACCCAAATCCTTGGCCTATATTTTAAGTGGGTTCCATCTTATTATTAATTTATGGAAGTTCTTTGCATAATTCTGAATAGAAGTATTTATATTTACCTTGTTCTGTGGGATATCTTTGTATTTCCTTTGTGTGTGTATGTGTGTGTCTTATCTTATATCATGTATGAGTGTTTGTTTACATGTATGTATGCATGTATGCATGCCATGCTTAGCTAGGGCCCACAGGGATCAGAAGAGAGCATTGGGTACCCCAGAACTGGAGTTACAGATGTTTATGAACCACCATGTAGGTACTGGGAACTGAATCTAGTCTTAACTCTTAACTGCTGAGTCATCTTCCAGCTCCTCTTTGTACTTTTTGAGGGTAACTGGTAACCTTTGAAAGACAAACGTTTATAACTTTGATGAAAACTATTTTCTCTTTTGTCACTTGTATTTTTGATGCCAAGTCTAGGAAATACTGCCTAATCCAAAATCATGAAAATTTTCTGCCATACTTTCTTCTAAGATGTCTTTAGTTTTAGCTCTCACATCTAGGTTATGGTTTAGTTCCTTTTACATCCCGTACATTTTACATGGGGATATCCGACTGCTCCAGGGTCATTTTTTGAAAGACTCTTCTTTCTCCTGTTAAATTTCACTTGTGTTGAAAATCAAGTGACTGTATTTTTATAATTTTTATTTTATATGTGTTTTTCTTGCACATAAGTCTGTGCACCACATGTGTGCAGTGCTAGCAGAGGCCAGAAGAGGGCATCCTGTCCCCTGGAACTGGAGTCACAGACAGTTGTAAGATGTCATGTAGATGCTAGGAATTGAACCCGGGTCCTCTGGAAGAGCAACCAGAGCTCTTGACCTCTGAGCCATCTCTCCAGCCCCTTGTCTATAATTTTTATTTCTAGTTTGATTTGTTATTTTTCATTAGAAAAGTTTCTTAATCTCACTGGATCTCAATCAATCAGCAATTCAGATTGCTCTTTGAATCCCATGAATTAATACATGTGAAGTACCAGGAATCTAGATGGTGAATGGGATGCTCAGTAAATGTCCACCAATGCTACTGTTATTATTCAGTCCCATGACTGCCAGTAGAAGCTATTTCCTCATAGGAAGAGAGGTGCTGGGATAGTCCAGGCCCTGCCCTCAAGGGTACTCAGCTTTGTTAATATGCTAAGACAGGCCAGAAACTGACACTCCCTTGGAGTCCTTGGGAGAGCTGGGCCTCAGAGGATTCAGGAACATGGGTAATAAAAAAGAGGGTGGGTCCTGTGAAGGTAAAGATCCTAACCAAGGTTCGGAAATAAGGCCATGAGAACCTGGCATGTGTCTTCCAGCAGGCAGTTGAGGTGAGCTTGGACAGATCTGGTAGGGTCGTATATGCCGGGCTTGAACTTGCTCGAGACAAGGCTGTGATAAAAGAGGACACATGTCAGGCCTGTCGTGGTGGCTCGTGTCTCATCTGCCTTGAAGAACTCTGGGGATGGCGCAGTGAGGTCAGCATGAGAGGCTTTGTCAGTTGCACAAACACCAGAATTGTGGTTCTGTGGGCAGGAAGGGCGCAGAAGGAGCAGGAGCAGGGAAGTCTGTGGGAGCAGAGGGCTGGTCTGTGGGGTTCACGCTCTGTAGTCCTGTCCAGGGAGCTCAGAAGGAACCCTCGTCACTCATGTCCAGCTTTGGGACAGAGAAGGTGCCTAGGGAAATTTTGAAATTGTCCCGATCCTGCTGAGGAAGCAGAAGGTTCGAAGAGGCCCGGTAGTAGTCTTCAGACAAGCCCTAGCTTATCGGGAGCCAGCTAAGGCTTAGGGCCTTTTGGTATTGAAGGTCGTGCTGGCCGGTAAGCATTTTGCAAATGAGAATGTAGATGCCCAAGGTCGCAGAAGAGATACATGGCAGAGCTGGGCCCCAAAGCCACATCTGCCAATTGAAGATGGTGGCTACAGGGTCCCCTTTCCCACAGCCCTGACACGCTGGATGTGCGGCTCGGCTTCAGCCTGTGCCAGGAAGAGATGGAGTTTCTGCAGAAGCGGAAGGTGGTGGTGACCAAGGCCCTAAGTCAGGTGCTGCAACTGGAGGAGGACCTGCATGAGGATGAGGTGGGTCAGCAGGGGCACCGCCTGGGCTACACCAGTCCCCCAGCTCCATGTCCCGCCCGAGCCTTCCCAGACCCAGGGTGGCTACACACACACACACACACACACACACACACACACACACACACACACACAGAGCGAGAGAGAGAGAGAGAGAGAGAGAGAGAGAGAGAGAGAGAGAGACGCACACATGGGAGTAGAGGGGAAGTCCTGACATGGCTAAGCTGTCTTACTGACATAGCATCAGGATGGCATTCTCACCCATCCAAGGAGACATTTTCAAGTTCTAGCACCTAGGTCATCCGCCCCCCCAGCCTTCACCCGCTTGTTCCTTTTCTTCTCTAATGTGTACACGTACCTGTCCCCACCAGAAATGACAGCTGGAAGAGAAGCCTCTTCCATTCCCGGAGCCAGTTGCCTCTTCCCCTGGAGGAAGCCACAGAGGTCCTGCACCTCCATCTGTTAGTCTGGGGAACAGGCTGGCCCCAGAGCATCTGGCTAACCAGGATGTAGGCTGAGACGGAACCTGGCTGGGATGGGGCTTCAGTTTTAGGAAAGATCTTACAGTCCCTACTAATGGAAAGAGGAAGCTTCCCCTTTCGTCTCCTCTTTAGAGAAACAGCATCTTAAACCTACGTTTTACACACACACACACACACACACACACACACACACACACACACACACACATCAGAACATGGGTTTTTTGTTTTGTTTTGTTTTGTTTGTTTGTTTGTTTTTCTTCTCTTGCTCTCACAAATGCTGTATGGGCTGAGCATGTACTGTGTGCCAGACCAGGGACTAGTGTCCCAACATTGCTGACATGTATAGGTGTCAGTCAGCCACCAGCCATCCATATTCCCCTTAGCCTCGGTTTTTTAACATCTATTAACAAAGAGCTGGGTTGAGTGATCAGAAATATTTTTTTAATTATTTTTTTTCAACATTTCTCTGTGTAACAGTTCTGGCTGTCCTGGAACTCACTCTGTAGACCAGGCTGGCCTCAAACTCACAGAGATCCACCTGCCTCTGCCTCCCAAGTGCTGGGATTAAATGCATGTGTACCACCATCTGGCTGAGTGCTCAGAGCTCTTTAACCATGACTTTCCTATTTACCAAGCCTGGATTAGGCAGCAGAATCCTTACTGATGGCATCACTGGCTTAGAGCAAGGGTCATCTTCTGGGCCCAACCACGTAGCCCACTGCTCTGTAAAAGGCAGTCCCTAAATCATTCCCTTTGCTCTAACCAGCTCTCTGTCTTCCATCATTTTTATTAAGCTGGGATCACTCCATGTGGAGGAGCCCTCTATAGCAGTCTTTTCTGTGCCTACAGGTACCAGTGATAGCCATCATGGCCACAGGAGGTGGCACAAGATCCATGGTTGCCTTGTACGGCCACCTGCTGGGGCTGCAGAAGCTGAACCTTCTGGATTGTTCTACTTACATCACCGGCTTGTCAGGTGCAACCTGGTAAGGAACTGGGCACCATTGCTGGTGGAGCCCAGAGGAAGTAGCAATGGGTGTGGCCTGGGATCTGGTAGAACTCTGAATTTTCCCATCCCAAGTAAAAGTGACTCATGATGCCTGGAAAGCTCTGCCCTGCGCAGTTGTGGGATTTGGGGCATTCCGTTTAATTCCTTAAACTCGGTTTGCTGGGTCTGTAAAGTGAGGTTGACAATAGGCTTGGCCTCTCCCAGTATTAAGCACAAAGCCACTGTATACATTGGCCATTATTGGCTATGTCCTTGGCAGCAGCCCAGAAAATCACAGTGGCCAGTGATGAGTGAGCCTGGTGTTACTGTCTGTCCTAGTGAGATGCAACCACCCTCTCTTGGGGATGGGCCCAGTCTCCCAGGATGGGTGGAGCTAGCCCGGTTGCGCTGGCTTGCCTTCCTCCAGGTCCTCAATACTATCCTTTCTCCTGGTCTCTGACCTGTCAGGCCCCGTCAAGTAGCAGAAAGGAGTAAGTAAGCTTTCACAGGGCTGCCTCCTCCCCACTCTGCTGAGGCAGAAGGGAAGTGGTCGCTGGGCTTCCAAAAAGAAGCCAGGGAAGGTCAACTCTAACAGCCGGCATAGCACCAGGGCAAGAAAGAAAGAAAGAAAGAAAGGAAGGAAGGAAGGAAGGAAGGAAGGAAGGAAGGAAGGAAGGAAGGAAGGAAGGAGAAAAGGAAAGAAAAGAAAAGAAAAAAGAACAAAGGATCTTGAAGGTTAATGAAAATGTCTCTATGAAGGTCATTATTACAGTTATCTTTATATAACATGATCATAGCATAGACCTTGTAGTCTTTTTTTACAGTGGAAGGGGTTCACTAGAATCCCCATGCAGCCGTGAGACCACAAGAAGTCTCTTAGCCAGAGCTACATACACCTTACTCTGTCAGGTACTGAGCCCTGAGTCCCCTGCTGTGTCTTTTCTCTTGATGAAGCTCCAAGTAGTTCTCATCAGAGGGACTGGATGTGAACTTGACCTAGGAAAGCCCATGGCTCCATATCTATTCCCCAGATGCTGGGGCCTTTGGATAGATGGGCCAGAAAGTTATCAGTGCTGCCCTCTGGGGCAAGCATAGCTATCCATCAGCATCCAGGAGGGACTGGTTACAGGATACCCAGGAGGATATCACTGTCAGCTGATGTTAAAACCCTTTATCTATACATGGCATGGTATCTGCATAATGAAGCCCACACAGTCCTAACAGGCACCTTAAGTCACCTAGCACCAAATCCAATATATTTGCTGTGTGAGTAGATACTAAGTTCTCTATCTCAGTAATGACAATCCATAAAGGCTCAGTAAATAGGAAGAAACTTCTGACTGATTTTTGTCAGCAGTTGGGTTGGGTTTCTAGGCGAAGAACCTGCAGGTTCACCCATAACTTATTTTACAGACAGAGAAACAAAAGGACTTGTCCTGCGTTACTCATGTCAGGAATAATAGACCTGGAATTTGAACTCAGTCCAGGGCCCATGTTCAGCGGCCGCTCTCAGCTCTCAGATAGTGATAAAAATAACTCAGAGTACTAGAGAAATGCTCAGCTATCAAAAGCACGTACCACTCTTCAGAGAATCCAGCTTTAGTTCCCAACACCCACATCAGGCAGCTCACAAGGGCCTGGAACTCCAGTTCTAGGAAGATCCAATGCCTCATATGATTTTTTTTAAAGATTTATTTATTATGTACACAGTGTTCTGCCTGCATACCCAAGAGGACCAGATCTCATTTTATAGTTGGTTGTGAGCCACCATGTGGTTGCTGGGTATTGAACTCAGGACCTCTGGAAGAACAGTCAGTGCTCTTAACCTCTGAGCCATCTCTCCAGCTCAGTCTCATATAATTTTTAAAAACAAATATCATAGCTGGCATGGTGACCCAACACTCAGGAAGCCGAGACAGGTGGACTTCCATGAATTCAAGGCCAGCCTGGTGTACATAGCAAGTTCCAAACTACCTATGGTTGCATAATGAGATCGCATCTCAAACAAAATAAGTAATACTAATAATATAATAGAATATGTTTAAAATGATAACTTGCTTCAGTGGGCGGGGGATGGGCATTGTGTTTGCTTGGACTGCTGTGTGGTAGACAGAGCACTGAGAAAGCTTCAGGCCCCACCAGAATGTGGCGGGGGGAGGCTCACAGGTCCCCTGTACTGAGGAAAGTCTGGAGAACATGCTTTTTAACACAAAGATAAGCAAGATGGGGGTGGTGCTATGTGCCTATTATGTCAGCACTCAGGAGATAGAGGCAAGAAGATCAGGAGTTCAAGGCCAATCTCAGCTACATACTGGGTTGGAGGTCAGCCTGATCTACATGAAATCCTGTAAATAAATAAGGAAGAAAGAAAGAAAGAGAGAGAGAGAGAGAGAGAGAGAGAGAGAGAGAGAGAGAGAAAGAAAGTAAGAAAGAAAGACTAAAAAAGACTAAATAGGTTTAGGGTAACCTTTTGAAAGTTAACAGAGAAAACTTTATGGAAGTTAGGGTGCTATTTGTAGAGCACCCTATTTGATCATCTTCCATCTTCCTTTGGAACCAGTCCTAAGAAGGAGGCTCCTGTTTGTATCTTTAGGCATCCTTAGACAAATCCCCTGTCACCAGGGAGCACTCTGGGGCAGAAGAAATAAGAGCGCTTCCTCATGCTGACATACAGAAGTTTGGTCCAAGTCAGCACAGTCAGACAGATTCAGACTCCAGCTAAGATCACTGACCTGGAGAGAAGCAGGTTGACATTGCTCAGGATCATTCAGTTCATGACCTGGATTTTTTTTTAACTTTCTTTGAATTATTTTTTAATTGTTTGTGTGTGTGTTCAAGTGCCCACATGGAGGACAGCTACAGGAGTTGGTTTCTTCCTCTCACCACGTAGGTCCAAGGAATCAAACTAAGGTAGTCATGCTTGTCGGAAAGTACCTTTACCTTCTGAGCCATCTTATTGTCCCCAAACCCAGACTTGGAACTCAGTCCAGGGCCTGTGTTCAAAGGCTGCTCCCCAATAGCTATAAAGTTAACTCACTTCAGTGGCGCCATGGCCCCCGCTGGACTCCATGGGGCAAACAGGAAACAGAGAAGACCTTGGGCCTAGCCTTACTATTCCCACCCACCATAGTCCACATTTAAGTTAAGAAGGAAAAGAGGAGGTGGAGAATGAGAAACGGGGAGAGAGGAAAGGAGGAAGAGCAAGGAGAGGAAATAAATCTTTTCAAAAATTATTTACGCGTATGCGTGTTCTGCCTGCGTGGATGTCCGGGCGCCCTGTGGGTGGCTGGTGCCTGCAGAAGCCAAGAGAGGAATTGGATCCCCTTGATTTGGAGTTACTGATGGTTGTAAGCTGTTGTGTAGGTACTGGAAATTGAATCGGGCTCCTCCGGAAGATCGACCAATGCTCTTAATCCCCGAGCCGCAGGAAATAAATCTTTAATTAATGTCCTATCATGAGGATGTATATGGTGCAATAGAAAGTGACTAGGATCTGGAGTCAGCTGATCCCAGGATCAAATGTTGCCCCAGCCCTGTCTCACCATAGTTCTAGTTGTTCTACACAGTGGTAACTTTTATATTTTTTCACAAGAACTGTATGAACTGGGTACATCAATCACAATTCTCACCACTTCAGTTAAGGAAACTGAGGCAAAGAGTGGTTAAGTAGCTTGTCCAAGATCACATAGCAAGTGTGTGGTAGAACATGGTTTTGAACCCAGGAAGATGTCGGCCTAGAATCCAAATCTCATTCAACATGGGCTTCCTGATGTACAATAGGCATTCAAGAGAGGAAGCAATCAATTATGAGAAGTAGTGCTTGCCTGACTCCCACCACAAGGTCCTCCCTCCTTCCCTTTCCTCCAGGTCCTTCTGCCAGGTTTGGGTCTCCCCATGATCTGCCCATCTCCTGTCCTGTCTGAACATGGGGCTGGTCAGACCAGGGCTGGGGTAGCTCTGTCAGCTGTGTGTGTGTCTCTCCAGGACTATGGCCACCTTGTACAGTGACGCGGAGTGGTCTTCCAAAAACCTGGAGCCTGCTGTCTTTGAGGCCCGGAGACATGTTGTCAAAGACAAGATGCCCGCCCTGTTCCCAGATAATCTCTGCAAATGGCAAGAGGAACTCCACCAGCACAGCCAGCAGGGCTACAAAACCACTTTTACAGACTTTTGGGGCAAGTTGGTTGAGTACAGTCTAGGCGATAAGGTGGGTGTTCAGTCTTTCCTGGGTTCCATCTGCCCAGACTGATATCAAGTCTCATTCTTTCTCCTTCCGAGAGTCTGAATCAAAGACATTAGGCTAGGCCTGCAGGTATATCTCAGGCTGGAAGAAACATGGGGTGTCTAAATACATAATGGGGGAAGATGGTGAGGTCAACTTTCATACCCTTTTCAGAGGACTGAGACCCCATGTTGGGCTAGCCTGGGTGCTCCCCTGAATAAATGAAGCATGGCTTATGAAAGCCATATCTAATCATCTGTGGGAGAAAATGGGAAAGAAGCTGGGTCAAGCAAGAGTGCTGTCAGCCACGCCTCCATTCTGACCCCACATGTAGGAGAGACAGAAAAGTCAAATAAAGCACACATTATATGAGTGCTGTGTGGCCTAGGAAGGCTCACAGCAAGGACTTATGGGTCCTTTGGTCCACAAAGCTATGTGCTGCATTATCCCCAGATAAGCCTGCCTTAGCATCTCATCACTAGGCCCAAGGAAATGTGGGCCCAGCATAGACAGCCATAGATTACAGGGTGCAGCATCCAGCACCCTTCAGTGTTGTTCTTGGTCACCAAAAGTCTACGTGGTCCATTTTCACGGCCACCACAAGGTTCCTTCCTGTTCTAAGAGACAATGACTGAGTGGCATGTGCCCCCAAAAGAGCCTGCCTGTGTAGGGTACAGCTGGTGCCAACCATGTGAGGTGTGATAGAGTGGGGTGGGGAATCCCTAAGAGGTGTGGTCCTGTACACCAGGGTGAGCTCAGCTGCCGATATCTGTCACACTAGGCTTTAGAAAGGAACCACTGGTTGTTGCTTGGCTCCAAAGCAGTTTCCCATTTAGCTCTGTCTAGCCCACCAGATCTTGACCCACTTCCAAAGGTGTCTTGGGGGCTCTGAATTCAAAGCAGAACTTCCCAGAAGGAAGATGGACAGCATAGTATCTTCCAACAGGTTCTCTCTGCTAGATAATCAGATATTTTGTGTAGGTGGAAGCTTCTTGTTCTTCCTGGCTTCCCAGACCCAAAATAATCACACAAAAACTATATTAATTAAAACACTGCTTGGCCTATTAGCTCAGATTTCTTATTAACTAACTCTTACATTTAAAGTAACCCATTCCCACTATTTCGTATTTTATCAAGAGGCTTATTATTTACCGGTATTATTCTCCTTCAGCAGCTACATGGCATCTCCTTGACTCCACCTACTCTCTCTCTCTACATCTCTGTTCAGATTTTCAACTAGGATTTACTCTGCTAAGCCATTGGCAAAAAGTAGACTCTTTATTAACCAATGACGATAAACCATATTCAGAGGGGAATCCCACATAAATTTTGGCCTGGGAAAATAACTTAATGGATTAAATACTTAAGTATCCAAACATGAAGCCGGGCGTTCAGATCCCCAGAACCCACATAGAAGCCAGGCAGACATGGAACTCCCTGTAATACTAATACTCAGGAAGCAGAGAAAGCATCCCTGGTTGGATAGCAAGAAATTGCTAAGCTCCAGATTCAGGGAGAGACCCTTAATAAATAGAGTGGGAAGCAATGGGGGAAGACATAGGACATCAACAGAATGCGCACACACATGCACATGTACTCAAGTACCCACACACACACACATGCAAACATGCAAAGGTGTATGTGTGCATACCAAACATACATACACATCAAAAAGAAAAGGAAATGACACATTTTGAGCAATCAATAACTTGACTCTCATTTTTTCTTATTGTTCTGAGATAAAGTCTCACATTATATAGCCCAGGCTATCCTGGGATTCACACTGGAGCTCAGGCTGACCTTGAATTTGTGGTGATTCTCTGACTTCAGCCTTCCAAGGGCTAGGATTACATCCATGTGCTTCCACACACCGGGCCAACCCTATCTTTAGTAGTTACTTATTCTTCTTACATTTTTTGATTTAAAGAAGATCATTTAGATTTATTTTTGTGTATGAGTGTTTACTTCCGTGTGTGTGTGCACCACATGTGTACCTGGTGCCCACAGAGGTCCTCAGATAGAGCAGCCAGTGCTCTTAACCACTGAGTCCCTCTCCAGTTCTCATTCGTTCTTTTAATAAGTTAGCCCCTGAGTGCCTGCAGCTATGCTGCCACGAGGATTCCGAGAGGACTAAGATGTGGTTCCAACCATAACCTGACCTGCCTTTGACAACCCCTCTCTAACCTGACTCCGTGATGAAGCACAGGTGGAGGGCAGAGGCTAAGGGCGTTGGTTCTGGATTCAGATAAAATGGATCTGAATTCTTGTCCTGCTCTGCAAGACCAGGGTATCCACTATTCCTTAGTGAGAATTCCATCAGTGAGTAATTAACATTTTAAAATTAAAGGCTGAGCATGGTAGCACATACCGTAACCAGGAGGCAGAGGATCGCCTCAAATTCAAGGCCAGCCAGAGCTACCTGTAAAGATCCCATCTCAAACCAGGTATGGTAGTGCACACCCTTAATCCCAGCACTTGGAAAGCAGAGGCAGGTGTATCTCTATGAGCTTGAGGCCAGCCTGGCCTACATAATAGGTTCTAGGACAGCCAGGCTATGTAGAGATGCCCTGACTTAAAACAATTAAACAAAAGGACCCATCTCAAAAGAGAAAAAAATATATATTTTTGAAGCAGGTTCTCATTATGTATCCTTGGCTAGCTTAGAATTCACTATATAGACCATCCTGACTCAAATTCACCTTCTGTGTCTGTGTGTTTCACCTCCATGTGTGTATGTGTACAACATGTATTCCTGGTACCCTTAGTGGTCAGAAGATGGGCTTGGGTTCCCCTGCCTCTGCCCCCACATGATGGGATTAAAAGCATGCAATATCACAACCAAAAAAAAATTGGTTTTAGCAATAATAATCAATAGCAGCCCACATGAAGATAAGAACACACCCAGTGTTCTGAGCTAGGAGTCCAAGCATTTTGAGGGCCTGGGGTGGAGAAGAACTAGGCTAGGGGAAGAGAAGCAAAGCTAGGAAGCTACAAGAAGATCTCTTCTGATCTTCCACTCTAGCAGTGGCGGGAGTCTCTCACTCCCCTCCAGTCCCCTTGACAACAATAGCTGCCTGGGCTCTTTCCTGGGTCTGTGGCTTTACTTCTAGGACATTTAACTCTGTATCTCCCAGATCTCTGGGTCCAGTTGTGATAAACACCCTCTTTTGCTTCAAAGACGCCCTAAGAGATGTTGGGCCGTGTATGTGTTGCCCTTCCACCCAGGTTCTGAAGTCTTTGTGCACAGGGTAACCACGGTGGTCAGAGCTTGGGCCCCTAGGACCTCGGCTTGGCCTCGTCTGCATTGGCTGATTCACTTTGGGACACAGCTGAAGTGGCCCAGGCGTATCTGTGGGACTTGTCACACTGGGACACAACACAGATCTTGGGGGGACTTGGGCCTTGCCTAGGCTGTCATAGTTTCAGGGTCCTAAGCCTCAGGGAGAAAGTGGGGATACGGGAGAGGGAGAGAGGGAAAAAAAAACTGCTTCTTAAATTTTAAGGAAGCCCAACACCAAGTTAATAAGACAAAAATTCCTGGCGAGGCTCAGGTTCCAGGGGTGATTGGGAGTAATGGCAATAAAAGGGGACCATGGTGGCTTTACCTACCTCTACCATATCCTCTAACCCCAAGATATGAGAATCCTCAGACACCCCCCCGCTCCCTCCCCCGCAAGAGACAGCTTTAAACTACAGAGCTAATTCCCACCTCACTTATGACCTGTGTTGCCAGACAGCCCAAGAACACGTTTTACATTCTCCAAGTGCCTTTGAGAGTTGACGGCTGAACTCCGGCAGCTTATACAGTTCCCCAGGGCGGGGTGGGGTTGGGGAGGCTCTGGAGTCTGGAAATGGGTTCAGATAGTTCTCTTGTTCCTCACGGACTGCTGCGAGCCACCTCTCCTAACCACTGGTGTCCCTACAGAAATATGATTGCAAACTGTCCGAGCAGCGTGCCGCCCTGTGCCAGGGGCAGAATCCTCTGCCCATCTACCTCACCATCAATGTCAAGGATGATGTAAGCAACCAGGATTTCAGAGGTAACACTGGTGGTTAGTGACTTCGGAGGGGGTCCCTCCTTGGCGGGTACAGCACACACTTTGCCAGTCTCCACATCAAAAAAAAAAAAAAAATAGTGCCCCACGGCTGAAGAACTCCCCCGCACCAGCGGGGGGGGGGGGGGCGATTTCCCTTAGGCAGTGTCCCTTAGCTTGCCGGGGCTTGTCTGATGAGTCGGTGGGAAATGATGATAGTGAAGATGAGACTCTAAGATTTTTTTTTTTTTTTGACAGCCCAAATGGGAAGCCTAAAGGGTCAGTTTTTGCCCCCTGGTTATCCAGCTTTAAGGAGCAAAAGTTTGAGCCTCACGGCTTGCAGAGCTGTTTGGTTCAGCAGCAAACGCCCCCTTGCGTCCCACAACGGAATTGCGGTTTGCAATTCTAAGTTCCCTGGGTCCCTGGAGTCAGTACTGGTGGGCTGGGGGCAGGGCTGTGTAGATGGTTCCCCAACCTGAGACTGATGTTGCTCCCTGTGTACAGAATGGTTCGAGTTCTCCCCCTACGAGGTGGGCATGCAGAAGTATGGGGCCTACATTCCTACTGAACTGTTCGGCTCCGAGTTCTTCATGGGGCGGCTGATGAAGAGGATGCCTGAGCTAGAGATGTGCTACATGCTAGGTGACTCCCTAGGATACTCAGTCCCAGTGTGGCGGGCGCCCTAAACTAGTGGAATGACTGGGAGAATCTTGTTCCAGTGCTGGTTGCCTTGATTAGCCTTGAACTCTTGAATTTCCTGGTTCTGCCACATAACATGAATCCAAGAAGGGCTCTGAACCTTCTTCCAGATTGTGACTGCCCTAATCTTTCTGCGGCCCCTTAGTCCCAGAGAGACTTCAGTAAAGGGACCCTACAGGACTCTCCCAGCACCCTGGTCTCCCATGGTCTATCTAGGGTCTACTCAGAAGCAGCCTGGGTGAGGAAGGCTTCTAGAAAATCACACTCTGCCTTTCTCCCTGTCTGGCTCTAGGCAGCAGTGTACCTGCTTCCAAGCAAGACTGAACCCCTCAGATCCCAGGCAGAGGGGACCCCAGCAGAAAGGACAGAGCCACTGGGAAAGCCTAGCCCAGCTTCCTGTTCTTTGCTCCTCGGTTCCTCAGAAGCCAGGTCACTGAGTATGAAGGTCAGAAGGCAGGTCACTGAGTGCAGGGGTCAGAAGGCAGGTCACT